AAAAAGGAGGAAAATTGTATTTGTACAATTGTACAAAATTGTATTGTAGCAAACAAATGCATTCACATAAAGCGGTTTCTCTCATTCCATTGAAATACTTAATCCCCTAATATAGTGCATTCTACTTCTTAGATTTCAATGCCACTTGACTCCAGAAGAGGCTGAGTGGCTTAGAAATTTAAAATATTACATGAAATTAAAAACAAACAAACATTGAAGTTGCCAAAGAAAAGAAATGTAGGAAATGGCTTCAGTTGCAAACCATTGTTCTATGCCCTGACTTTCTAGCCAAGTCCTGGCCCACTAACTAGGACATATAGTGCCAGCAAAACAGATGCAATCTTCCTTGTTCACTTAGCAAACCTTCAGTAAAGTCTTTCTCACAAAGGCCATCTTAATAAGACAAAAAACTGCAATTATTTCTGCCATAAGTCTTTACAATCCTTAAGTCAAGCCAGACCTGATTTAACCACCATTTTTAATGATGGTCAGGTAAATCACGGTGGTGATTAAGCAAAACTGCAGTCAATAAGCAAATGCTGCAAACTTATTCTCCCGAATAGGCATCATTTCCCCAGAAGCTGGCAAGAAAAGAACGCAAATCACCATCACTGTGGGACACCGCGACTGCTCATAAGAGCAAGCGCTTACGCTGCCCAGTTCCCAAACTGCAATCGCGTGATCATAGGGGATGGTGCAACGGTCATAACGGCAAGGACCGGATTTTTTTTCCAGCAATGTCGTAACTCTGAACGATTGCTAAAGGAATGGTTGTGAAGCTGGGGACTGGCTGTAAAGAGAAGACAGGAAAGATCTATGACTTCTTCATAGGTCTTCTTGAGGCCAGAGATGACACAGCAAAGTCCAATCGAGTTAAATCCTTTATTTTACGCCAGGGGTCTTCAAACTTGACAGCTTTAAGACTTGTGGACTTCAACTCCCAGAATTCCTCCTCCAGTCATGTTAGCTCCGGGATTCTGGGAGTTGAAGTCCACAAATCTTAAACTTGCCAAGCTTGAAGACCCTTGGTTTACACCAATGGACAGAATCTTACCGAAGTCAACCTACTAGACCAGTGGCCCCCAACCTTTTGGGTGCCAGGGACCGGTTCTGTGGAGAGAGGTTTTTCCACGGGTCAGAAGAGGTGTGGTTTCGCATGCTGCCTGCATCCCATGGATGGGATTTCACTTGTTTGTGTGGACCAGTTTCTGGCATGCCACGGACTGGTGCCGGTCCACAGACAAGAGGGTTGGTGACCCCTGTACTAGACACATCCTAAGAGATTCTGGGGTATGGCTACCCTAAACCTCTTCTTGCCTCTCCCATCCAGCTTGGGATATGCAGCCTCTTCATCTGGGCTTTTCCCTGGGAAAGCCAAAATACTTCCTCCTCTGCTTCTCCAGTTGCACTTTCCATCACACTTGAGGATGACAGAAAGCAGGAGGAGGAGATAAGAAGCATCATGGTCCCAGTTATTCCTCAAATATCTGCTGAAATCTTCTAGGAGTATTGCTATTCGTGATTAGGTTGATTAGATTGAGACATGGCACAATTTTGCAAGATACATAAAAAATAGTAGGCAAAAAAACTAAGCAAGCCACATCGTGGTTTAGCACAAGAAATGAACCCCCTCACTTTTTCTACAGCAGGAGGCAAGAGCGCACAAAGCAGCCAAGAATAGAGGGTTGGAGGAGAGCAGCTCTCTTCCTCCCCCCCCCCTCCCAAAAACCCAAGCAAGATATCACATTATATAAAACAAGTTGTATGCAAAACAGAGATGATTAAATTCCTCCTAATCAAATGATCTCCTCTCTTTCACTAAATCGGAATACCATTCCTAAGTAAACATTAAAGTAGCAGTTTCCACAAATGAAATTCGGGATTGCCATGCCACATGTTAAAGAAGTGATATAGTTTTTCAGGCTAACATGTTGGCTTGTTGTTATACCACTCAAAGCTTCAGGAAGAATTCCGACACTATAACAATGAGTTGGCTGGGTTCAATCATAGCCTGCTTGGTCATCATTCAAAACACAGATACCTGCATTCAAACAACATGCTAAGCAAAGCTCAGAAAAAGAAATCATGATTTAGCACACTATGCTCACTTTATCACAGTAAAAGTATCTACCTAGCTAATATCTAAAGGTTGATTTCCTGAATAAATTACATTCTGCTCATGGAAACAAGGTTTACACTTTGGACTAGTCCAATTTACTCAGGTAAGTTACAAATGGTTATTATTTAATAATCAATAACATGCATTTTATAATATGACTGGTTTTACACAACATACAAAACCAAAAAATCCCTGATATGTGTGAATTTCAACAAGATCTACCTACCTGACAGCCAAAGATCTTGAAATAGTGTACTTCGGCATCTCTTACACCAGGGATCCCCAACCTTTTCGACGCCGCGGCCCGGTTCCGGCGTCAGCTGGGCGCCGCGGCCCGGTTCCGGCGTCAGCTGGGCGCCGCCATCTTTTTTTGACGAAAAATCACTTCCGGTGACGTCACCGGAAGTGATTTTTCGTCAAAAAAAATGGCGGCGCCCAGCAACCAGCGGCCCGGTAAGGCTTGTTCCGCGGCCCGGTACCGGTCCGCGGACCGGCGGTTGGGGACCCCTGTCTTACACTGAATAAAGCCTAATCATCCAGGAACATTATTCCTATAAATGCACACTCCATCACAAAGTTTGCTAAACTTTCATTCTGGTAACTAATAATGTCCACAAAACTGCTAGTTCTTTCAGTTGTTTCTTCAGAAATAGAGGGTATGATTTGAAAAAGAAATGAAAATGCAAGCTTCCAATCCCACTGTCCGATTTTTTTCTTTACTATTTAAAAAAAAAAAAAGCTCTGTATGGCAACAGCTTCTTTTCTGAAAATAAAAAAACACCATGTTTTTCAATTTCGTCACCTCCATGTGGGTAGAGCAGATGGAATAGTTGTTTCATCTCAGCCCTAACCTACACATTTTTTTTCAACCTGTCCATAAAAAGGATGAAATGACAAAACTACCTTGATGGTATGTCACATTGAACCCAAAATGAATCATGGTTTTGCATTACAGACTAGGCTAAAAGTCTAATTTGTGGTCCCAATATGCAGTGTGAACACAACCGCTCACTGCTTGCAGAGCAACTTGATTTTCAATTTAGCAAGAAGCTGCTGTGTTATATGCTACTCTGGGTAAATTATCCACGTTCTTCCCTGCCACCTTGGAGCAATCTCCACTTCCTCTTTTCTACCTCTGTCTCTCACATTCACTTCCTATCCTTCACTTTGTTCAGATCAAGCTAATTTCTATAGAAAACAGATTTTTCTTTCTGGCAAAAACAACAAACCCTGCAAGCAACAATAAGCATATACTTAATCATTCCACCATTCCTGAAAATTCATGAAAATTTGAGGACAGGTATTTATCAGCCTTAAATATGGCTGTAGAATGTTTTGTATCATCAGCTATTATTTTCTAATAAGTATTATTAGACCTAAGCGTGTTATTTATTTTAGTGTTGCACTCTTGCTTCTGCAGCTGTTGTGCAACTTAATAAAAGGGCACATTTAAGGTGTACAGAGCACACCTTGAATTTTATAGTGCTCTTTAGCAGATTTAAGGTGCTAAAGAGCCATTTGTCAGAAATGGTGTAGGGTCTCCCGCTTGGGTGGGGAGGTTGGACTAGATGACCTACAAGGTCCCTTCCAACTCTGATTATCTGTTATGTTAAGGTGTTAAGGAGCCCCATAAAATACACACAAAAATTGGGGGGGGGGGGGAGAGAAAGAGAGAGATATGTCCTATCTGAAAATAAGAGGCACAAGGCTTTTGAGAATCAAAATGACACTAGAGAATGAAATGGCAAATAAGAGAACAACTCTGAGGTCAAACACAATTATCAATCCCTCCTACACAATGGAATATTTTATTTATTTGTATCCCACATTTATTGCTTTTAAATAACTCAAGGTGGCAAACATACCCAACACACCTTCCTCCTCCTATTTTCTCCACAACGATTCTATGAGATGAGTTGGGTTGAAAGAGAGTGACGATCCAAAGACACCCAGCTGGCTTTCATGGCTAAGGTGGGACTAGAACTCACAGTCAGCTAGTGATTAGCCCAGTCACCCGGCTGACTTTTACCCCTAAGTCGGGACTAGAACTCACCATCTCCTAGTGACTGGCCCAAAGTCACCCAGCCAGATTTCTTGCCTAAGGTGAAACTAGAAATCCAAGTCTCCTGGTAATTGGCCCATCCTGCTGAATTTCATGCCTAGGGCAGAACTAAAATTCACAGTCTCCTGGTTTCTAGCAGAGCACCATAACTGCTGTATTGAACTAAAAAAGAGTTTATGTATTAATAGATGGCTTACAAACAGTGGTTGCAATCGCCCTAAGGCAAGTTCAGAGGATATTATTGGCCCTCAAATAACCCAGCTGATGTTTATGCCTAAGGCGGCACTAGAACTCAGTCACCTAGTGACTGGCCCAGTCAACCAACCAGCGTGCATGCCTATATGGACACTAGAACTCAGTCACCTGGTGATTGACCCAGTCACCCAGCTAGCTTTCATGCCTAAACCAGCACTAGAACTCAAGTCACCCAGCTGGCT